CTCTCTCTCTCTCTCTCTCTCTCTCTCTCTCTCTCTCTCCCCCCCTTTCTCCCTCTCTCTCTCTTTCGCTAGCCTGTCTGGCCGGGGTTTCCTTGTTTTCGTGGCACCTGCTTCGTTGTCGATCTTCATCAGCTGTTGAGAGTCTCCTTGCACCTCTCTGTCCCGCGTCTAGCAGCGTGCTATAAACAAACATCGCCAGCGGCAGCCGAAATCGGAACGGTAACATGTTCTTATGTACGAGAGTTAAAGTGCCGTTATCCACGTACCATTTAAACGGCGACTTTCCTTGAGACCGATGACGTGTCTTCCTTCTTCCGGGTCTTTCGGTGTCCTGTGGTTTCCTTCCTTCGTGGTCGGCGAGGTGAGGTGGGGCACATTTTCTTGGGACGCGCTGACCATCTCACTTGCGGGACCGCATTCGCTTTGACACTAAACCCCCCTTTTACGCTTGCTTGCTATGACCGCGAAAAGCTGTCGACGTTAATCACGAAAGAGAATCCGGGCGCCCTATGCATCCCCCCTTCCTGTATGCGCGAAATCCTACGAGCGGAGCTCTCTCGCCCTTGTAACGGGCGCCCTTCGGCTGCCACGTCACAATCTATAAATTGTATTAATGGCCGTGAAAGCCTCAAATCTAATATACAGGAACATCGTTTGGGGAAGAACCATGATTTTAATTGGGATCATGTTAAAGTTTTACATGAGAAACGCTTTTACTTAAAACGCCTGATCTCAGAAATGATTTTCATCAAATTGCAGAAGCAAGGACTTAGATCACAAAAGGATACCAAATATTTGGGAACCAGCTACTGCGGATTGTTATGAAAATAAATTTTATTTTGGTTTCTTTCTTTTCCATTAGTCGTTTCCGCAATGTTAATGCTAGGCATTTAAATATGTAATTATTTGTATTTTGAAGACGTGGCGATGTTATCGTTGACAGGATCGGTTTAATTTTAGCTGAACTTTTTTTTTTATGTAAAGCAGGGGAAATGCATTACGCACACCCCCGGGGGTTGACGACCCCCCTCGGGAGGTAGTGTGGCACTCTCCCCCTCCCCCGGAGCAATTGGTGGGGGGGGGGCCTACCCACTGCCGGGTCCCTTCCTCAGCGGCCGTAACGATGGCGCCCCGGGAAGCTTCTCGCATCTTTCCGGGGTACCCCCAGAGGCACAGGCCGTCCATTCTCGAGCCGGAGAGTAGGTGTCGCCCGGAATGACGACACCAACGACCCCCCCTCCCATCCGCTCCATGGAGGTGCGGTGGGAGGGTATACTCTCTCCTGCCGTATCCGTCGCATAGCCGCGCGGCGCGAGACCCCACGCCGCACGGCCCGTTCCCTCTTGGGGAGGAGCGGAGCCGGTTCGCCACCCGGTCACCCGCCCCTTATGCTATGAGTCCCGGCCGACTTACAGGGGGGAGGATCAGGCCTGCGTCGGCCCCTCCCCCCTCGCGGTCAAGATTCTCCTATCCCGGGAGAGGGGGCAGGCGGCAGCGAGTGCGCCCGCAATGCCCCCCACCGAAGGAAGGGCGCGCACCGCCGTCGCCCCACTCCCTCTCCCCCGTCAGCCTCTCCAGGCGCCGCCTGTCGCGGACGGAGGGACTGAAGCCGCCGCCTGCGGGTTTCTAGTACCCTAGCGGCGGCGGCCTCCCTCTTCTGGCGTCTCTCTTCGCGCCACCTCCTCCTTTGAGAAGACAGCCCAACGGGCGCAGCTGGCGCGGCTCCAGGGGAGGGTAAGATAGCCCTCCTTCCCAGTGCCCGCACACCCCGTTGGTGTGCCGGCCGAGGGCGGGGGGCACGGCGCGTTCGCCGCCCCCCACAACCGTTTCCTCCCTTCTGGCCCTCTCCTGTTCCTCCTTCTGCGACATGAATTTTTCGAAGAAGGAGGTAACAAATGACCAGGCCTTTCGTCCCTCTAACATGGCCCTGATAAGGGCCGGGGGCGAGAGGTCCGCTCCCACCACGCTTGTGAGGACATGGCGCTGTCAGTCCCACGCCGGGCATTCGCCCAGCGTATGCTGCGCCGTGTCTTCAGCCGCGCCGCAGTGGTGGCAGCGGCTGGTGCACTCCTTCCGGACAACCCTATGCAGATACTCACCGAAGCAGCCGTGGCCGGTGAGCACCTGGGGCGTCTGGAATGTGAGATCTCCGTGTGCCCTGCCTACCGACTCTTGTAGGCAGGGCCGAATGGCGTCTGCGACCCTCTTCCCAGAGCGGCCCGTTGCCCCCTCCAGCTGCATCTTCTAGCGGAAGAGGAGGCGTTGACGGGCTTGCTCCCTAGCGAAGGCTATGGCCCTGGCAAGTCCTGTCCCGTTGTTGTTCCCCTGGCGGAGCTCCTCAGTACGCCGATAGTTTTCGGCGTACATCATTCGGCAAGGAACTCTACCGGGGGGATCCCTGCCAGGGCCATGGCGGCCGCGTGCGACGTAGTCCTATAAGCCCGGTCGAGGCAAGTGGCCATAAACCTCTGGGCCCGACGGACCATTTGTTGAAGCCGCCGGGACCCGGCCATCTCCCCCGCCCAGATCGGGGCCCCGTACAGAGCCACCGAATGGACCACGTTCGCAAACAGCCGCCTAGCCCGTCTGTTTGGGCCGACGTTGGGCAGGAGGGCACCTAACGCACCCGCCATCCTGCACAGCTTGGGGGTTAGCACCACAAAATGTCCCTCAAACCCCCAAGCGCCATCCAGGGTGAGCCCGAGATACTTTATCTCGGTACCCACCCTCACGGAGATCCCGCCGGAGCTTTAATCGAGGTGGTCTCTCCTTTTTCCCGTCATGAAAGAACAAAGCTTCCGTTTTCGGGGGAGACACCTCGAAACCCATGCTCAGAATGGAGTGCACCACCTGGTCGAGGGCCAGTTGCCCCATGTCCCTGGCCTGTTTCCAACCCCGTCCCCCGGCCACCACTAATGTGTCGTCCGCACAGCAGACGACGTGGCAGCCGGGGGGAGGGCGGTCCGGAGGACCTGGTCGTATGCGATGTTCTACAGATGAAGCCCGATTACTGACCCCTGCGGAACATTGCAATACACTTCCCTTCCGCAATGAAGTTCCGCTTTATTGCGGAACTCCAAGCGCCTGCCCCGGAAATAGTCTCTTATTATGTGGACCAAGTAGGGCGGGAACCCAAAGTGGGTCATTCCCACCTCTACCTAGTCCCAGGGGAGGGTATTAAAGGCGTTGGCTATATCAACTGATATAGCCAACGCCACCCTCCCCTCCCTCACGATGGCCTCCGAGAAGGATCTGACGCGCTTAATCGCGTCCACAGTCGATCGGCCCTCTCAAAAGCCATACTGCGCGTTATCCAGCGCGGGACCATTCCGGGACAGGTGCCGGACGAGGCGGGCTTGTATGATTCTTTCGAACATTTTGCCCGTCTCGTCCAACAGACACAACGGTTTGTATGCGAAAGGGGTGTTCTCCGGCTTGCCCTCCTCGCGTAAGAGAGCCAGTCTGGCCCTCTTCCACGGAGCCGTAAACAGGCCAGCTTCGAGGCAAAGGGTGAAGACCGCCTAAAGCGGTCCTTCAGCCTCCCCTCCTCGGCCAAAGCCAAGGCCCATATTCGGCCCGGGAAGCCGTCAGGGTTCAGCACATCTCCGCCGACCACCAATAGGCGGCCCTGCGGGCTGGGGGGGGGACGCATCGCAAGCGTCCTGCATCATGCCCCGGATCCTCATAACTTCCCCCCTAAATGGACTCGCGGGATCCGGTTATGGGCCCCGCTTCGTCCCAATTGGCCGCGCAGATGGCAGCAACAAACTTGTCGCGGTCGAACGAGGTTAGCGCCCACCTTGGCGGTCGGGTCGCCCCGCTGCTGCGCCTTGAGAGCACCCCTCCCGAGGGGTAACGACGAGGCGGAGCTCTATGTACAGATGATCAGATCCGGTCTCCGCCTCAGTCGACACCCTCCATCCCTGAACCTGTCGGGCGGCCGCGGGGGAGATCCACGTCAGATCGACGATGGACTCCCCCTGCCACCCGACGAAAGTGTTCCCCCGGCCTCTGTTTTGTAAGCTGAGGCCGGTGGACGCAGCCCACTCCGCGCAGGTCCGCGCCGCGGGGGCACGTCCCCGAGGAACCCCACACCGTGTTGTGGGCGTTGAAGTCCCCGGAGACAATGACCGGCCTAGGGAAGCGCCTCATTATGAGCGCCTCATTATGAGCGCCTCCAGCCGGTTCAACAGTGCCCCAAATTCAGGGCGGGTCCAGGATGGCGGGGCATAGCATCGGACCTCATCTGTGGGCCCCCACTTGACCGCGACGTAGCCGTCCCCCCCCCTCGATAAGCTTTATCGGGGGAAGTCGCGTCCAATCCCCCAAAGATCGCCACCGAGTACCTACCCCTCTGGCCCCTGGCATCCCCCAGAATGTAGGACGATTGCTCCGGGACCGAGTAGGGATCGGCGGCGACCCCAATCCCAGCGCCGCGCTCGCGCAGCCCCTGGACAAACAGGTACTGAAACGCCCGAGCGCGGCGTAAGTTGGCCTGCAGGAGAAGTGCACCTATTGTGATGGTACACACTCCCTCTCCTCCAGGCCAACTACCGCAACTACTGCTGGCCTCGTAATGAGGGAGCGAGACCTACTGCCCTTGCTCCCCTCACTATCGGCCTCTTCTTTGCCACTACTCCCCCACCCAACCCTTCGTCGCGGTCTACTTGACCTCTGGGGGAGCGGTGGCTCAAACTCCTCCTTTTAATTGGGTTGGGACCTGTCCCTTTTAGGGGCAGGGGGCGCGCACTGTTGCGGGCGCCCCTCCTGCACCTTTCTAGCGGGTCTTCCCTTTCCCTTAGTGGAGGGAGGTCCGCTCTTTCCTTTTTTGGGGGGCTGAGGGGGAGCGTAGCCCGACCCCTTGCCCCCCTTTTTTCACTCTTTGTCCCCCATTGGGCAAAGGGAAGTACCCATACGGTGGCCACAGGGCCTTTTGGCGTCGCGGCAGACAGGACACTTCACCTGTCCGCCGCCCTGTGGGCATCCAGACCGCAGCGGTAGCAGAGCCCGCGGCGGGCACCCCGCGAGGGTCTCCACACGGACGGTGGCCCATCCCACACGGAGGCGGCCACCGTCCAGCACTTTTTTAGCCGAGGCCAACGGGCACTGCACCCACATGGTGCCCAGTCCGTTGGCCTCGGCACGGATCGCCCCAGTCCTCACATCTTCGGGCCCGCAGCCCCCGGACGACTTAATGGCAATGACGACATCTTCCGCCGTCACCGCGTCGTCCAAGTCGCGGACCCGAAGCACGACCGTCTTTGCCGGTAGCGCGATACGCACCTCCTTCTCCCCAGCAAAAAGGGTCCTCATCTTCCCGGCCATTTACTAATTGTAATGGGTTCGTGTCGTAAACCTTGAGTTTCATTATCACTGAAGAGGGTTCATGGTTGAGCCGAAACGTATTTTTTATTTTTTTTATTGATTATTCATGTTCAATAAATATTACACGATTTCCTAACACATGGAAGATTTTTTTTTACCCATATGGTATATAGCACTATTAGTCCTGTGCTTGAACTCGGATTGTCCTTTTTCTTACTTTTTGATTTATATCTCCAAGAGCTACACTTAGAAGAGACTTCTTGCGAACGATATTATTAATCCCTTTGCGGAGCTCAATTGAAATGTTCCACATGTTTGTGCATTACAATGCACCTCTGCACAACATCGGAATTGCGTCTGTGCAATAAAACTCTTAGCAACGAAGCCCACTGGTACTTTGTTTTATCAAACAGACTGGGACTTTGTCAGCTAAGTTATTATGTATGTATTTATTTATTCGAGAGCCACCTACAATTCCAATTTTTTAAACTTTTACGGCCCTATTGTCGTAGTAACAGTGGTGCGAGTGGTACCATTAATCAACGCTACGACAGCAGAGCTGTGTTTCTAAATCGCACAAGCGGATACTTCCACGTGGTTCCTCGCGGTAACTGCAAAACAATGCTGGCCAAAATCCATTTCCTCAAGCCTAAGGAATTTGCTCGTAATTTTTTTTTTTTTCTTTTTTTTTTCCCAAGACCTGTACGCAGGAATCCCTGGTAGGTCAGTCAGACTGGATTCCCTTCTGCGGGGGGTCACTGAAAACAGTGTTAGAAGTAAATATAGGGCAGAACGAAACTTAAACTGAATGGGAATCTCTTACTTGTTGAGGTCTCCTGTTGCACATATGGGTGCCTCCCCCCCCCCCAAAAAAAGTTAACCTGCAGGAGTGTCCGGCCAGGTTCTGCTGTTAACGCAGAGTCACTAAACGGTAAGTCGCGCCATACGGCATTGAAGTACGTAGCCAATAAATGCCTCGTCATCTAATTAATGACGCGCATTAATGGAATAACAAGATTCCATTCTGTCCCTACCTACGGACTCTCGAAGAGAGCGGCGCGGTCTAGGCATGCTTCGAGCATCCCCCGCTGCTCCCATTAGCCAACCCCACCTCCTCGTGGTGAGAGTCGGGCAACGTCTGGACGCCACCGCGTCCAGACGGCCGACGGGGCCCTGGCTGTCCGTGCGCCCCAAAGGGCGGACTCTTCCCTCCGCCCACGTGCCCAGTCCATGGTGAGACGTGGGGCCAAGAAAGGACGGGCTTTTCCCAGCGGTAACGGGAACGGTGGCGCTCCCCGCGAACCCCGGTGTCCGGAGGACTCGAGCGGTATGAAATCCGCAAAGACAGTCCACACTGTCCGTGCACTGGGGCGAGTGGGAGTGCCTCCCGGCCGTGCCGCTTCCTTCTCTCTCCAGCGGGAGCGGGACAGGGCGACGCCTCGGTAGGACCGGTACCTGAGCGGCTCGAGCGGTACGAAACCGTGTAGACAGCCAAGTTGGGCCGGGTACTGGGACCGGAGAAGGTGCCGCCCAGCCGCGTCGCTACCATTCCCCCTCTTCCTTCCTTCCTCACACCTCTCGGAGAGGTATCCCACACCTGAGCAGTTCATCACCCTCCGTCTCCCCCTGCCGCATTTAGGATGTAAGGGAGGAGGCAGGGACTGCCTCGCAGCCTACCGGGTCCTGCGTCCCTCCGTTTCGGCGGCAGGGTTGACGGAACCGGGAACTCTTTTTCTTTCAGGTGCAGAATTACACAGCACTGCCGCGAGCACATAATTGGCTCGGCGCCGCGGCCGTCGGTCCTGGACGGGACCGTCATGGCGCTAGCGGCATAAAACCCACACCGCCTACTCCCTTTTCCTTTTCCCCAACCCTAGGTGGCCCTTCGCCCCGCCTCGCTGCATCCTTGATGCAGGGAGGGGGGGCATGGGCTGCCGTAACAACCTACCGGGGCCTGCGTTCCTCCGCTTTGGTGGAAGGGGCGACGGAACCGGGGGTATTTTT